TTAAAAATATGATTTATATTATTTCTTTTTCTCTCCATGTAGGCAGTTTCTGATGGTGGCACCGATTCACAGATATTAGATCTCTCCAATCGCTTCTACACACTCATTCCCCATGACTTTGGAATGAAGAAGCCTCCACTTCTAAACAACCTTGACTACATTAAGGTACTCTGCATTTAACTCTCATACTTGAACACAGAAATAATATAAATCATATTTTTAAAATGTAATTTTAAGACAGTTACGTCAGCCCAATAGTCAACTTTCTAATCTACTTTGAATGGTTAATACACTGTTGGACATGGGCAGGAGGTTCAAGTTCAGGGTATGCCTCACCTATAATGTTTATTAGGTAAACCTGTGGCCAATCATTTTCAGTTTAATTAAATACTATATTACAGGAGTGATTCATACTTGAAAGGTGGTGGTATTGGGGGTATTTAAAGGAATCAAATCCATCATCTTTTGGTTCCTTACATAAAGTGTAACACAAAAAATGGGGGAATTTTCATTTTTATCAGAAGAGGTAATGCTACTTTTCGGAAAATAGCAATTGGAGAATCTGAAGCAGTCTCTTAAGATAATAAACACTGCAATGCATGTATTGTTATGAACAATTGCATCTTTCATTTATCAAGACTAAAGTGGAAATGCTGGATAATCTGCTTGACATAGAGGTCGCTTATAGCCTTCTAAGAAGTGGCGGTCAGGATGGGGATAAAGATCCAATAGATGTGAACTACGAGAAGCTCAAAACCAGTATCCAGGTAAAAATGGCAGAGATGTGTGTTATTCTCTTTTGACACTATATTTTTCTAACTTTCCAAGGTTAATTTAAATGAGTAGATATAAGATGTACATTTTGGTACTTCAGTGATAAATTCTTATCTGCAACAATTTCAACAATTTAAAAAAGTTTTCATGTCTAGAAGCTCATATACATTTGGTTATTTTCTTTTCTGTTATTTTTAATGTAGAAGAAAAGGAAAAGGCTCTAAAACATAAAAACAAGAAAAACAAAACAGGGAAATACATGCATAACATGAATTATGTATATGATGGAATGCCCAGATTTTTTTTAAAAATATAATGACTCATTTTCGGTATTCAACTTGGCCACACACAAATTATTGATAGATCTTTTCTTTAACTTGATATGAAATTCATTCATAGGGGACAATGGACATGTATCATCAACCCATATAAAATATAATATTTTCTTGCATATTACCAATATTGGTCTTAATAATTAGGTTGTAAATTAGAAATTGTCTTTTGGAAATGCTCGGTCTATAAATGTGATTGATAAATATATAATAATCTTCAGTTCTCTGTAAAAATAATCCATTGTTATCTTTTCAAATATAGCAACAGTTTAAGAATACTGCTAACAAAATTGGTCCAAAATATGTAAATAGAAGATGTGCAAATTGAATAAATTGCCATCAGCCATTTTAATGAGTTCAAATAGTTCCTGCAGTACCACAGATACTTAAGAAGAGTGATTGAGCAAAAGCTCATCAAAGGTTTTGGGTTTTGTTGTTCATGAGATTCTAATATAAGGTTTAGGTGCCATTCTCAAGAAGGGATTGTCCCCTGTGTCATTTTCTCAAGGATCAAGTATGAGCTTCTCTTCCAATGTAACCCAAACATACAGCCTTAATGTAAAAATAGCAACTGCCAAAATACCAAACAGACAAAAAATCAGAAGGGGACAAATAACTTTAAAATTATGGCTGGAAACACTTTTGAAAGTTACTTAAAATTCATAGGTTTTAAAGTGTAAATTAATTGATAAATCTTAAAATCTGGATTATTAAAGCCCTCTTTTTTAATAAATTTAAAAAATGCCATAAGAACATTATTATTATCTTCAGATACTAATTTTAATTTAGTCTTTGAGGTTTTGCAACAACTGTCTTGTCAAAACAAGACTTTTAGGTTGGAGGTTGTACTTTTGCTATCACCCAGACTTGGCTAGATAATAACGTAAAAGGAAGGAAGCTTAAAGAGTCTCCCTTCTCCCATATTCAGCTTCCCATCATATCTCCCTCCTGCCTCTTACCCTTATAGTTTTCATTCCCAGGTCTAAGTATTCCCCATAATTACATCATCTCCTTAACACCTCTATCACCAATATAGTGATCCCTTTAGCAATACTACTGCCTCAGGGCAGTATTTCTTTTAGCCCAAGGAATCCTTTGCGGCTCCAGTTGGTAAGTTCTTCTGCCGTCTCACCCTGCAAGAACAATTGGCAAAGCAGGTACAATCTTCAGCAGCTTCTCATATGATGCTTTTAAAAAAATAACATTCAGGTTTTCTAGATCAGGATTGCGGAAGTAGATTGTGTACATCATTTTAATGACCAAATACATTTACAGGTTCCACTTTTTACATTATTAAATTTACAACAGTGATTTTTTTTCTCAACTTCCCGACAGATAGTAGATAAAGATTCAGAAGAAGCCAAGATTATAAAACAATATGTTAAGAACACCCATGCAAGTACCCACAATGCATATGGTTTGAAAGTTGTGGAGGTAAGTTCATGGTTGTGGTATGGTATTTTAAGGAATTGGTCTATATTTAACTTGTCTTTCCTGAATGTATTGCTGGAGTATTTAGTTGCTAAATAATATTTTTTTGTGAAACTGTAATCATAGCTCATGATTACCTCACTTCTGTTAACTATAATCTTATGTAGTCTTGTATCTTGGAGTTAATACAAAATGTTTATGGAGAAGATATTCTGAGCTTCCCCCCCCCCCCCAAAAAAAAAAAATCTTAGGCTTGTGAGCATGGAAAGTCATGAAATGAATATCCATGCTATATACCTACATACAATACATGCAAATAGTATATGATGATACTCTAATCGGCACCCACATTAAGCAAAACTTAAAATCATGTTTTGAAGTACTGAAACATGATCAATTTGGATATTTCATTAGAGCTTACTATCTTAATTCTAAACCATTGGAAGTACAACACAGCAGAATAATTTGTGCTTAGTCAATAAAGGATGGTTGCAGAGACCACCCTGATATTTTGGCTAAGGATAATGTAGTTTGTGTAACGCTATAGTGGGCGATGGTCTTTGTCCCTCCTGTTTTTCGTTCCATAAGCCAAGAGGTTTTTGTGTATTAATGCAAAACTTTGGATTTGGAAAAACACAAATTGCATGTGTATCACATAGATATGCCTTTCCTCAACTTCCATATAAAGCAGTTCCAACAGGCTACTGCCCCCGCACCTACAGGAGATGTATATTCGCATGTGCTTGAACAGTGTTACAATGCCTTATCTTCAGATACCTGCAGTAGATAGATTTTTTTTCCATTTGAAGCAAGAATCCTAGTTACCAAGCCATGTAGGACTTTAAAAATAGTGGTTAGGATTTTGAATTGTGCTCAGAATACCAGCAGCGGCTTCCAGATAACCTTCACTGGCAGTCTCATACATTATAGGATGCAATTGCAAGAAGTGGGAAGGACATGCTCTGTTTGTACACTCATAAAAATCCAGGAGGGAATAGGTGATTGATGTATTGTTCGATTTCTCAACATAATTATCTTATTAAAATGGCTGCCTACAGAAGGTGATACAAGTTGGGCAGACTGTATAAGTAAGTATGGCATGCCTAATTTAAGAGAATTATGTGGAAAAATCCAGTTACAGATTGCCAATGTAGCATCTACGTCTGTCTTCACAAAAATCGATTCTAAAATAGTGATGGACAAAAGTGAAGAAATGAAATTTGACAAGGATGATTACATCCTTAAAAGTTCTTTCTGGTACCTCTGATTTTTAGAAAGTTCAATAAGCAACAACTTCTTTTACTTATACTCAGATTTTTTTGTATATTATATTCAAAGCCTTCAAAACTAACCTGGTTTTAAGATGTTTTAGAAAAATGGCTAGATTTTCTTGTAGATATTTCAAATTCTGTTCTAAAAGGCTGCTTTAGAGCACACAAGTCATGAATATAGCTTTTGTAAGCTATCTATCTTTTTATAGGATAATCCATCTAGAAAAAGAAACACAGCTGCTTTAAAGAGCTACAGGGAAATGTCACATTTGCATCCCTAAACACTCTTAAGTATATTTTTGAATCAGTTTTAATATGGCATTCAGTACATTACTTTTTCAATAGAAGGTATTCATTCATTTAATTAAATGAAGTATCTAGATTTAAGTTTGATGCATAGTTTATGTTACTATGAGACTTCTGAGGAACTAGCTTTACAAAAATGAAAGAATATACAGTACCTAAGAATTCAGAGTGGTTTTCTACATATTGAATTATTTTTCAGTATACTCTGCTTTATCAGTCATCATATCTTTTTCTCCATCTCTTCCAGATTTTCAAAATTGAACGTGAAGGAGAATATCAACGTTATGAACCATTCCGGGACTTACACAATCGCCAGTTGCTCTGGCATGGTTCTCGCACTACCAATTTTGCTGGTATCTTATCACAGGGTCTCCGAATAGCTCCACCTGAAGCCCCAGTGGTTTGTAATATGCTAATTTTCTAATGCAATTAGTGACATTCCAGATGCCAAACTCTCAGCTTCCAGCAGCTTCAGTTAGCAATGGCATAAGAGTTGCTGGGAGTTAAAATTCAGCAATCTGAGGCATATGATTCTTAGAAGAACTTACAATATGTTCTATCCTAATAATCTTGCAGTTTTGGGGATGGGATTTCCATTTCAGTTAGCTTGAGTTTATTCAATTCTCTCAATGGAGAGGACAGAGAGGGAAATTACACTTATCACAATTCTACATGCTGTTCCATACATCTAGATTAATCATTGTAAAAATGATTAATCATTTTTGTAGAATTGCAGACAGTGTAAAGGTCAACTCTCCACCTCTGAGCAATTAGAGAATAACTCCTGACAAATTATTTTATTCAGTCTAATCATACATAGTAGAAATACAGTTTATTTAAACTAGAATATTAAGATGCAAGCCCAGAACTAAAGGTGAAAATAAATAAAATACAGAATTGCTGTCTGTTTTAATCTGAAAGGGTAAAAATATCTTACTCTCCATTATAAAAATGTATCAAACAACCATTTCTTCCCAAGGAGGGAAAACACATCCAGAGATCAGGGGGAAATGTTTCTTTTTGTTGTTTTATATAATAGGTATATACTTAGAGCTAAAATTTTCTCTAGACAGGAGTTGCAATCCCCATTGGACTTCCTAATCAGATAACTTTTGGGAAGCTTAGCATATTTTTTTAAACTTTTTTTAGACTGGCTATATGTTTGGCAAAGGTATCTACTTCGCAGATATGGTGTCCAAAAGTGCCAACTATTGTCACACCTCTCAAGTGGATCCTGTTGGCCTACTCTTGCTGGGAGAAGTTGCTCTTGGAAACATGTGAGTGATACCTTCTTACAGTGATAGCATGTAGAGTATCAATTTAGATTTGAAAATATATTTATTCTAAACAAAAATGTTCTTTCTGTGTCTCACCGCAGATGAGAAGCTATAGAAATTTGTATTGAAATATCTTATTCTAAAGCAACAAGTCCTTTAGTTTTACTGAAAACAAAATATTCATAAAGGAGGAGGCATTTTTTTAATTTTGTGAAATATTGTATCCTAAATGATCCTCCTCTCTGTTTGATAGGTTTGAATTGAAAAATGCTTCCCATATAACCAAGCTGCCAAAGGGCAAACACAGTGTCAAAGGTAAGTGCCTTCTGGAAATGATGAGTGATTTTTATTTTGTATACAACTTGGCCCAGTTGTTTTTCATGCTTTACTGTTCAATAATCTCTATAAATCAGATTAATGCAATATTAAGATACCACCATCACCCTTCAAAAGGCATTCAATTAATAATTTCAGCTGAAACCAAACTGATGAGATGACTGAAATTGAAAAATAGTATTAATACATCAGAGCTTATATATAGCATGGATGCTACATATTTTAGACAAAAAAGAAAAACAAGTTAATCCAAGGTAAAGCTAGATTTGAATAAATAATAGAACTTCGTTATTAAGCTTGCTATACTAATCTTGCTAAGAAGCAAGTCCCCTAGTTTGCAAAAATACTTTTTAAAAAAAGTAGGTAGAATTGCACTGTCCATTTAAAAATATTTCTTTTCCCTAATCCATCCTAAATAGCTTGTGCTAAATGATGATAATCTTAAAACTGATCTATACCCATCAGCTTGCATTATAACTGAATAGTTCCTCTCCAAATGTACAAGGTTTCTCTTCCCAATCTGATGTCCTTCTGCTATGTCAGATTGAAGAAGAAGGGAGTTTACAGTCCCAACTCATTTCCAAGTCACCAAGCTGGGAAAAGGGACAGATGGAAATCTTTGCAATTCATAAATGATTTATTTATTTAAGTGCAAACAGAATTTTAGTAACAAAGGCTTGGATATATTGGCTGAATTGATTAGATTTCAAAATTGTCAGCATTGTGAGAAAAACTATAGAACTTTTTCCAAGGCATTTAAATATATTGTATTTACTTATAACCACAGTCCAACATACTGTAAAGTGGTTGACCAAATACCTCTGTGCAGTTCATAAGCAGGAGGTGATATAAATGTATGATATATCTCTATTTGTCATCTTTTTCTAAACTTAAATACCCAAACATTGTGGGAACTTATTTGATCCCCATAATTCTTTTGCATGCTATATTAACTGATTTTATAATTCAGATCAGATAAGTTCCAGTTTTTCAATATACATGTGAATGCATTAGATTTAACTACAATCATTTGTTTGTTTCCCATTTAGGTTTGGGCAAAACAGCCCCAGATCCCACAGCCACTGCTTCTCTTGATGGTGCAGATGTCCCTTTGGGAAAAGGAATTCCATCTGGAATTAGCAATACTTGTCTTATGTATAATGAGTATCCTTTGATCAATATTAGAACAGAATATACTGTAAATAGCCATTGGGGATACCTGAAAGTGGTTGCTTCTAGCCAGGTGAATACTGTTAGCCTTAATGAATTTGGACTTTTTAGCATCAGAATGAACAGTCAGTTACCTCTGCAGTTCTGGGATAAATGTCCTTGACAATTAGAAGATGCTGGGAAAGTACAGGCTTTGCTGGAGTTTTAAAACCTATACTTTTTATTTAGTTATCCATGCATTTGCGTGCCCCTTATTCCTAAAATTCTAAATATCTTAAGATATAAGTATCTTATATCTAAAAGCAATGAAAACTATCAAAACATGATAAAATAGTGATGCCATAGATCACTCAGTCAAAGGAAATTAATACTGTTCTCTGTAATAGTTGCCTTCAGTTAAGTGGCATAGGAGCTCACTAAGTGGCATAGGAGCTCACTAAGTGAGTTCTGGATTTGGGTATACTCCATGCTTCTCAAGTGGTAACTGGACGACAGGAGAGGGCTGATTCTGGCTCTGGAGGAGAGAGGAATTTCTGATGTTCTCATATCTTAGTACTCTCAGGTTGACTTCTGCAGCATGCTATATTGAATTATGTTTAGTGGTAATCCAGAGACCATACTTTGGTTTAAAATACAGTATCAGGAACTTTAACAAGTGCCTTTCTAAGACTCTCGTGCCACTGATCTGGCTAAAATCCTAGAATTCTCACCAATCTTGAGTCATTTTAGAAATCTGAGAGGGCTTGGAGAATGATCGTTAGTTATGTCTTCCTACTTTATTTTGCAATGCAAAAGAACACAGCAAAAATGTCTTTCTTTTTTCCTTCATTCATTACTTTCTTCAGATACATTGTCTACGATATTGCTCAGGTGAAACTGAAGTATCTGCTGAAATTAAAGTTCAACTATAAAACAACACTCTGGTGAAGATCAGCTTCTTGGAATTACTAATACAAATGTTTTTGAGCCCCTCCTTTATTTTATTTTTTTGATAAATATGCAAGATTAGATGAAAAATGCTATGAGCAATTTTGTATTTGTGCTTCCCTCCCTCCCCCCTTTTCTTCTCCTTCCCCCTCTTGGCTTATTCTAGTTTGAACATATTGTACATCTTTAACTAACAACAACCCCCACTCCCCAAAAAGGGAGGGGAAGTCAATAACCCTTGAATTAAACCTTTAGTAAAAAGACAGGGAAGATAAATTTAGAATTGTTTACATACTTTTTTCTTGTTTTTCAAATCTTCCTTAATTTGTATTCTGAATAAATGTTAATGTGTTTATTTTGAAGTAAAAATAAAAGCTACTTTCTTACTAAAGTTTTCTTGTAGGCAAAATACAGTACTTCTGTATAAGGTTTTAAAGTTAGAAGTCAAGTGTAATGTTTGTGGATCCTATCCTAACCTGTTGCTCAGTCAACAACTGTGTTAGATGATTGTGTGTAGAAAGAACAATCTTTTTGGAGTTGCCATCCACTCTGCTCTTGTAATGCATGCTGGGAAGTGAGTGCACTCAGGCAAATGTGAAATCTACGTGCTTCAAAAAAAGTGCTACAAATCTAGCACAAGCATAGCATCTCTCTACCATTTAATAAAATAATGGCAGGCTTTTATGTAAGCCTGAAAAAAGATGTATCGCCAACACATTAACTTTAACTTGACTCTGCCATGCTTTCAAGCTTGTGCAGAAGCCTAAACTAGAAGAACTGTTTTATGAATGATAGGTGCGGTTGTTTGCATGAGCTTTGAAGCATTTCTTTCCACTTATTTTTGAAGGATGCAAAGCCCTAATATGCATATCCCCCTCATGTACTCACAGATGCCTTTCATTCTTACATATGTGCACCTCCTTCCTTTCCCGCTATCTTTAGCAGACTTGTTGAAAAGGAAGAAGAAATAACTTTCATTTCTACACCCACAACTTACCATAGCAATCTGTTTCTATATAGCAATATTTCTTTATTTAAAAATGAGTACTTTGCATGCTGCATCATGGGAGGAGTAGGACGCCTACTCTACCATCAACAAGCAGAAAGAAATATGGGACAGAGAAACAGCTGGTCTGGAAAATCTGGGAAGTAACTTAACAAATACTGTACCCCAGAAACTAGGTGAGAGAAACAATGTAGTCGGATCAAAAATGTTAACAAAAAGGGAAATACAAATGGTACAACAGCAATAGATGCACTAACAATTTATGCACCAGTGTAATGAATGAATGACATGGAGATGATGGCATGTTGCCAGACAGCACTTTTAAAGGACTGCCCAAAATCTGCACTGCTTTGCAAACTAACATTGAGTGACATCTCTGGCATTGGTGGGTTGCATGTTGCTTACAGATCATACAACTGCAATATCGAACAGACTCCAGAATAATAATTAGGCCTTTTTATTTATAAAACAAATCAATATACAGGTGAAACTCAAAAAATTAGAATATCATGCAAAAGTTCATTTATTTCAGTAATGTAACTTAAAAGGTGAAACTAATATATGAGATAAGACTCATTACATGCAAAACAAGATAGTTCAAGCCGTGATTTGTCATAATTGTGATGATTATGGCGTACAGCTCATGCAACGTTTGCATCTCATTTGGAAACCAAGGATCCAGACTATGGAGGAAGAATGGAGAGGCCAATCAAGCACAGTAATCCCACGGTCATTGAATCATCTTTTGGTGCTTTTGGCAAAAATTGCTCTCATCAGAAAAGAGGACTTTGGACCACTGAGCAACAGGACTTTGGACCACTGTGCTTCATTAAAACCAGGGTCAACGCAGCCATCTACCAGGAGATTTTGGAGCACTTCATGCTTCCTTCTGCAAATGAGATTTATGGGGATGCTAACTTCATTTTCCAGCTGCCCACACTGCCCAAAGCACCAAAACCTGGTTCAATGACTTGGATTACTGTGCTTGATTGGCCAGCAAACTCGCCTGACTTGAACCCCATAGAGAATCTATAGGGCATTGCCAAGAGAAGATGAGAGACATGAGACCGAACAATGCAGAAAAGCTGAAGGCCACTATTGAAGCATCCTGGTCTTCCATAACACCTCAGCAATGCCACAGGCTAATAGCTTCCATGCCATGCCGCATTGAGGCAGTAATTGCTGCAAAAGGGGCCCAAACCAAGTACTAAGTACATATGCATGCTTATACTTTTCAGAGGTCCAATATTGTTCTATGTACAATCGTTTTATTGATTGCATGTAATATTCTAATTTTCTGAGATGGTGGATTTGGGGTTTTCATGAGCTGTACGCCATAATCATCACAATTATGACAAATCACAGCTTGAACTATCTTGCTTTGCATGTAATGAGTCATATATATTATTTTCACCTTTTAAGTTGCATTACTGAAATAAATGAACTTTTGCATGATATTCTAATTTTTCGAGTTTCACCTGTAGCTGCCCAAGTCTCGCAGTCTGTGTAATGTACAATATTAAAAATTCACAATCACCACCCCAGGGCGGCAACAGAACCAACCAATCCACATGATTCATTTCAAATGGGGTCCCAAAGGCCACTGACAAAACCATATGTTCAAGATCTTGGAGAAGAGCAATGTGTGGGCCAATCTTATCTCTGGGGGAATGATGTTTTGGTTGCTTCCAGTCTTTGGGCACAATTTTATCTTGGGGTAAGCTTTATAACACAGAGAACTAGACTACTATGGCTTTGCATCCCAAACTTGATATTTAGTCACCAACACTCCAAAGGAAGTATACTTCTTAACTGCTTAATAGCCAGTCAACAGTGAATGGCAGACAAACGATATCACTGAAGAAGCTGATACTTATTTGCCAAACTACTTTTTTCCCATCCAGCCACATAATGAATGCACAGGCATCATTTTAATTCATTAGAAGACAGTAACACCTTGCTGTTTTCCACTTTTATGGCTCAACTGTAGCTGGTAACTTGTAATGATCTGAATATAAATAAACTGAGTATCCTGGCAAGAAAAGTGCTACTTTTGGCAAACAGCACCAGTAGCTGTTAACATGTGAAAGTTTTAACTAACTTGAATTTCCAGAGACTTCTATGCTTTAAGATAAAAATAAAAGATCAATATCATTATGTAACAAAGACTTCAAAGCACAAGCCCTTGTGTGTTTTAATAGATTAATTAGATCCTAACATTTCTGCTCTAAGAACAAACTTGTATTGTAAACCATAAAAGAAAATATTTTTCTTCTCACACATGATTTATTCTGGTAGCATGTGCACTTTAATTTTGTCACTTCACATGACTGTGAAGACATAAGAAGACCTAATAGGAAGAGAAGTATATAGTGATGATCAACACTCAGCTATCTTTACAAGTTATAAGGCAAAGATTCGAGGATCTTCGATTACTCATACATCATCATACATATATTTTAAAAGGGTAATTGGGATGTAACTTTGGAGGGGGGAGTTCTTGAAGATCATAGTGCTATTTTGACATGGCTGGGTGGTTACATTCTATTGCTCTTGAAAAGAAGAGTTCACTGTGTGTGTAGCTATACTTGCTTTTTTATTGCAAATTGTTTGTGAATATATACCTATGTAGTTACACCTCAGCAGCTGGCATAGCTAGGAGTTTTGACACTAATTAGTACTTGAATGCCGAAGTTTTCTAGACAAGGGGATCTTTTAAGTTCCAGATGACGGCAAGTTACTTCTGGTAATGCTGACAGAAAAGACCATAGGATTATTAATTATTAAATTTATATCTTGACTTTTCTGTAAAAGCTCAAAGAAGCACATTTTTCCCATTTTCTCTTCAAGATTTTTTTTACTTTAAAATAACAGATTCTTGTCAACAGTCCTTGTGGAAGATATGAGTGGGAGGATAAATCTGCTTTTTATAGCTTAACAGGGCAAAAAAGGATTGTCTGTGGTCAGAAGGTAACACGTGTTACAACATAAAAAATCAGCACTCCTTTTGGAGAGAGAATCAGCTTCATGCTGCATTTGCCAAATGGTAATCTCAGGCAACTTCATGCAAAATCCATAGTTAATCTAGCTTCAATAATGAGAATCTGCATTGCTATCAGTAGCTCTGAATTATCAGTATTCATAACACCCATATTACACCACAAAAAATTAATGTCTCTATATATCCTATCCTATAAAACAAGTTAAATAATTTTAAATCAATGTATGCTTTTCTAAAATACAGGAAAGATAACTAAAGACATTTTCATTTATAGAGGACAGCATGGATGTCAGTCTCTTATACAGCAAGCTTGAGGTGAACAAGGATAGAGTGATTTCTCAACAATAATTCCTAGTTCAGGAACAGCTGTAACTGGCACAAAGTGAAGCTGTGCATGTTCTTTTGACCATATCTTTACCTGCTCCTGAAGGAGCCATGAATCTAGGGAAAAATCCATGTTGCAGGAATGATGTATATGCAGGAATGCAACTCCTTCCAAGGGATGATTTCCACCAGTAGTTTCATGTAGATGTTGAACAGCAGAGAAGAGACTCCCCAATGCACCCTACATTACAGAGCCTGAGAGTTTGACCTCTACCCTTCACAAACTGGAACTGGAACAAGGATATTATGATCAGTATAGTGAAGGCTGTCAAGAAATCAAGCAGGATCAGAAGCATTTCACTCCCACTGCTATATCTCACTCCCGGGTCAACCAAAATAATCAATGCAGTCTTAATCCTATAACCAGACCTGAAACTAGAAAGAAAAGAATTGAGATAATCTGTTTCTCATGATGTCTTCTTTACTTGCTCTATCACTTCTTCATCAATCTTTCCTAAGGGGAAGTTTTTGGGGGGGGGGTAATTAAAACAACCAGGATGAGTGATTGAGGAGAGGGCACAAAATTGTTCCCTTCAAGACAGGTGGCATCTCATAAGGTCATATTAACCACCATCTGCATCCAGCTTCCTCTCATGCTGACAACTTTCACTAGCCAAATGGAATAGGAATCTAATCAACAGATTGTGGAGCTTACATATCCTAGAACCCCAACTACTTTTTTGGAATCAACAAGCTCACACATATCCCAGATCTTTCGCAGATGGTATTCTATCTTGTCAATAGCCAGTACCAGGTTACATCATCTAACCCAGAGGTGTATGTGTAATATATGAATTAATGTAACACAATAACCTACATCTGTTTTTGCACATGGAAATAATTGAAATGATAAAGCCTGTGATTTTTATATTTCAATCTGTAGTGATGTTTAATCTGATGGCCAGATCTCATCTAAAAATCACATAAAAATCATGCAAAATCCAGTTGCCCCATTTTATTGCTAGTTATGCCTGTGCCATATCTTCAGTAGCAATGTTGA